TATCGATTTAGAGCTTTAAAACGAGTTTTTGGTTCAGGAATTTCTTGAATTCTCGATAAGCCAAATTAGGGTTTCGGAGTATCCGGAAGCCGGATTGAGCCCAAATTTCATATACGAGCTTCTTGCAGCGAGGTAATCAATCCCCTAGTTCTAATTCCTGATTTTCGGCTATTATTTAGGCCAGGGTCCAAATCGCTGAATTTAGCTCCGGCCAGGGTTTGATGTGTTTTTATCGAGAATTTGACCCGGAGCCTAGAACTAATATTGACGGGGATACTGCAGGGGATATTAGGACGGTCTCGGATTTTAATTCGGGGTTCGTTCGTGAAATTGACGTTTTAGTACGGGAAGGTTAAACCGGTGTTTGAACGACCAGAACTGGTGAGGGATTAGCACGGCATACCGGGTTTGTCGTATCACGATAATTATATTGATGCTTAGAATTGATCTAGGTGAACTATAATGGCATGATTAGGGGTGTATGAACTTTTGTGCTATATGTTGAACCCTGGATTGCTGTATGATATTATTGACTTGCCCTAATGGATATGAACCTTGTTTATGTGGATGATTGCATACATGTTGCCATTTGTGGCTTAACTGTTGATATGACTTCATGGTTGTTCGATAAGGGGTTTTGACATGGTGTGAAATTATGGTTGTATTTGGATCCATAAGTGGGGGAATAAACTTCCCAAGGTGATATTATGATGTTTTAAGGAAGATGACTTGCACGAGGGTTTATCCCGAGGAAGTGCAATTATACGACTCCTGATTTACCTATGTTGAGCCAATTATGGCCAGGTCAAGTACATGTGCAAGTAACGAATTGTGATTAAGCAAGATGAGATATGAATCATGTATAAGGATACCAAATATGAGTGTTGTGGTCTCACGGTCAACTACATAGTAATTAGGGCTCCCTATGCTATTACTCTATTATGATATGTATGATAGTCACACCTCTCATGTGGTGGTGACTGAAGAATTCTTATGAGATATGACCACACCCAGAGCGGTGTCGGGGTATGACTACACCCATAGTGGTGTGGGGTATGTATGACCACATCCGACGGGATGTTGGGGTATGTATGACTACATCCGACGGGATGTGGGGTATGTTTCCCGGGAGAGTTAGTAGCATGGGAGTAGCAAGGCGCCTATGATTAAAACATGATAAGATGCATATGCATAAGTCAAAGTGGTTGAGTCTTTTGCTTATTGGGATATGAGGATGGCTGAGCTCCGATCCTAGTGTTTTGGCTTGATTGTTAGATGTATGATAGGGGTATGCTCTGTTATGAACTCACGATGCTATGATTATCTCACTCAGCTATGAGCTGACCCTCTTTTATTCTTCTTCTCTGCTTATGCTATGTGTAAGTAGATCATCAGCAACAGCAGTAGATAGGTGTATAGGTGGGAGTTGAGCAAGAGTTGAAGGCAAGATGAGGTATGGTCTTCAACCATTCTGTGCTTGGACTACTACTCGGGATTTTGGCCAGTGATCCACACCTTTTTGTAAAAGAATGTTTTGAGAACGTTTTTCATGTGCATACTAGCTTCTGATGTAGTGTGAGATATCCACAGGTGTGGAAAGTTGATGATATGTGTATATTGTGTAATTAGGTAAGTAGTGATAATTATAGCATGTATCAGTATAGTATGCAGTTGTGTAGTATGAAACTGTGACTATGGCTATGAAAAGCCAATGCATATGGTTGTGAGTATATGTGTTTGTCTATGAATGCATGGATTCAGATGAATTATTTTGCAGGATCATATGGAAGAACTGTTAGCCCATTACGCGAGTAATTCATGTCGAAATTTTATTTAGGTAAATTTTGATAATTAATGTAACACCCGAGATTAATTCCGCTTCAATTGTATGAACAATATGATTAGGCAAAACGTATAGGGTAGGGTGTTACAGTAAGAATCTTCAGATGATCAGTCTTCAAGTCCGGGCTTGTTCCTCGAGCTTCCAAGGCGAAGAAATCCTCCAATTCCACTCCAAGAATGCCCTCAAATCGCCCTCTCTCTCTTTGGTTCGTCCCTTGGGTGTTTGGGATCTAAAACCCAGCTCTACCCTTGCAAAAACGCACAAAACAGGCTTTTAACAGCCTGCGTTCACGATCCCGGCCATAATCCTCGGTCGGGTATTTTAGGTGCTCGACCGAGGATTACAAAACGCAGCGCACAAGACAGGGGCTAATACCCGATCGAGGTCAAGAATACCCGATCAGGTATTTTTGCTCAATGACAGGGCCCCCTTTTGGACTCTGGGCGCTCAAAATCATTTTTCCCCGGCCTCTTCACATTATTACCCGGCCGGGTATTTTTGCTCATGGTCGGGTATTTTGCTCCTCCAGCACCCTTCAACTCAAACATCCTCCTTTCGACCCGAAACTCGTTTCTTTGCCTCAATGGCAACGCCAAGCCCTGAAATATGACATAAACACCCAACCTAGCGTGAAATTGGCTTAAAACACGAGAATCAACATCTCAAACGGCTCAAGAATTGGGGTAAAAACAAGTTCAATGAATGGTCTATCAACTGGACAGAGATTCGACAGTTTTTTAATGAAAACCAAAGAAAAGTTTTTTTAGGGCAGATCGGACTTAGCCGCAACCAACAAACCACTATTTCCAAGGTTTTTGGATGGAGAGGGGGGGATGGGTAGAGTGATAAACTTAGAGAGAGAGAGAGAGAAGAGATTGGTTTTGGTGTGAAGAAATTAATAGGAAGGGGTGGTATTTATAGGTGGAGGACCGCCTGGTGTGGGGGGGGGGGGGGCAGTTTGGTATTTTTACGCCACCAAAAACCGTGCCTCCTGTACACGGTTTTCTTTTCCCGACGCAAAAACACGCAGCTCCAGCACACGGTTTTCTGTTCCCGAAGCGCAAACCGCGCCCTCGGGGAATAGTTATCAGTGGTGGACGCGGATCGCTCCGCTAACAGGCGGTTAGCCGTCCGATCACCTGCCCATCGAACGGTTGCATGGACCGCCACGTGGAGGAGCAGTTTTGCAGCTGCCCAAGGATAACCGCCTGTGTCCCCGCGCGGTTTGAAGGAGAACAAATGCGCGGTTTTACATTAATGGTGGTAGTTTTGGATTTTTGTTGGATTGGGTGGTACTTTTGTAAAATTTTTTAAAGGATGGTAGTTTGGAGTAAAAATCCACAATCTCCGGTTCTAGTGAAAAATATGTTGATATGTATTAGAGTGTGTTTGGATATAAGAATTTGGATTTGGTATTTGAGATTTGAATGGTAGAATATTAAATAATTTGTTTGGATATTAACTACATATGGTATTTGGATTTGTACCAAATTATAGGATGATTTCCAAATATATGTCTATTTTATTACTTGTTTATTTCAAATACATATATTTTTCGTTGAATATTTCAAATACATATCAACAACTAGTGATTCGAAATTTCTCAAAGCAAAAAATTGAACTAGTTTGTGAAATTTTAACAGTTCATGTACTATAGTGCAAGACAAAAAATATAAAGCTACTAAAACGTAATCTTACTACCAAAAGTTATGAACTTTTTGTGAAAAAATTAAAGTTCAAATACTAAATTGTATTTAAAATAAATTTGAATACCAAAGTATTATATTTCAAAAATTATAATATATCACCTTAAAATTCAAAATTAAAATTTATACGATATAAAATATCAACAAAATACAAATGAACATGAAAAATAACAAATTTGAATTACATATATTTTGAATACAAGTACTTCAAATGCAATTTGTAATACACGGAGTTCGTGGATGTGAATCCACGACGCCCTTTTTCTGCTTTTGCCTAAATCCTAGAAATTAGAAACGGAATGCGTTAGGGTGGTAACTGGATTTTAAGTAGCCACCGTGGATACATTAATATCCACCATTTATTTTTTTCTTTTTTTAATCTTACATGTTAAGATGGCGTGTAAAATACCTCGACTGCCACTTAAGTTTGAGAATTGGGGTAGACATACCACTTAAATTTGAATAGGGTGTCGGGTACCATTAAAGTCACCAAAATGTGCATCCGTCTACTTTTCCATCCAACCCAAAATTTTAATTACTTTTTGACTTTTAAAAACATCCAAAACTATATTTCAACAAGTTTTTATCTAATATAATAATTAGGAAACCTTCTAAACATATTATTACTAGAATGATTAATAATTTTTTTAATAAAATAGATAAATTAGTAAATATAGTAAATTAATATCAAGAATAATAATAAATATATACAATTAATATTAGAATATCTATTTAAACCCCCTAATTCAATTAGAAGCACCATTAGAAATAATTAAAATAGAACCTAATCTATTATCAATATATCAAAATCAAAGAAGGATAACTGGAACACAATAAGAAATAATTAAACATATTCCTTTAACTGAAAAGAATTAGAACGAAAAGAAATGGAAAGTAACTAGGTACAAATAAAATATAAAAGCTACAACATTCGGTAAAAAATATAGGAAAGAAAATATGACTATATAAGCTACAACATTGTTTAGTTACAACATGCATAGAATAATTAAATTATTAGAACACATAATGATAATTAAAAATAATTACAATGATAATTGATTCTAAATTTTCTTGATTTGGTATCAAATATTCAAAAGAAGATTCTAACTAACCAATAAAAAAGGATGTTTTTCATAAGTCCAAATTATTTTTTTTACAATAAAAAAAGTAGAAGGATCAATTATGAAATTTAGAAAATAGAATATTCCAAGAATATTCTGTCAACTTTAACGGAATGCACTTAGGACTAAACTTAAGTGGTACTGGGTGCACATATAATAGAGTTCAGTGGTACCCGACGCCCTATTCAAACTTAAGTGGTATGACGACCCCAATTCTCAAACTTAAGTGGCACGCGAGGTATTTTACCCTTAAGATGACTTTAGAGTAATTTTGGAAGAAGAAAAAAAGACCACACCTGATTATTCAATATATTCTACCTTAACCCTACTTCACCCTCCAGTTAAACCCGTCGTAGCTGGCCATTCCTTCCCCACCCTCGCTCTCCGACGAGCCGACCATCCTTCCCCCATTCTCTCTCTCTCCGACCCTCCACCCCTCACCCCACCGCCGACCCTCCCATGTTCCCCGTTCCTCCCACTCTCCAATCCCGACTCCACCCATCCCTCCCTTGCTTCTCCCTTTCCTCCGCCCCATCCCATAACTCCCCACCCACCCCCTGCCGTCCCCATCCTCCTCCGCTTCCCCCTCTGCTGTAAAAAAACCCACCCTACCCATAACCCCTCTCTCTACTGCAATGCATGACGATTGGAAAAAAGAATAAAATTGGAGGAATCAGATAGGATGCCTGGTTTTTTATTGGTATGTATTTTTTTCGCATTGATAGTTATTTTTTCATAGTGGTAGTGTTTTTTTGCATTGATATTGTTTTTCCTACATTTGTATTGATTATATGTAAGGGTATTGCTGTTTTGTGAAATGGTAGTTGTAGTGGTATTGTTTTTGTCGCAGTGGTATTAATTATCATGTAATGGTATTAATTTGCATGTACTGATATTGATTAAATCTGCAATGGTATTGGTTTTTTGTGAAATGATATAGAGATTTATATTGGTAGATCGTTTATATTGGTAGTTTTCGTGTAATGGTAGATATTTATTTCTGCAATGGTATTGATGTTTTTCAAACTGGTAGTTGTTGTCTAATTGATTAGTACTGATTTCGTGTTTTTTTTCTTTTTGCAGAAAGATTGAGAAAAATAAGGGAAGGAGATAAAGCTCCAGAATACGGAAATGAGAAAAAGGGAGAAAATTATAATTAATAAATTTTTGTAACTGCTTAAAATAAAATTTATTAAAAATAAATTAATACAATTTATTAAAAATAAATTAATACAATTTATTTTTCCACACCCAATTTACCCTTGGTTAGAAACCCGTACTCGAGTTCGCCCTTCTCTTCTCGGAATTTTCCCAATAATAGCACGTTTAAAAAAAATACAAAACTAGCACCCAGCCGAAAATATTTACATAAATAGCACCGTTTTTAATGGAACGCACCCCTAAGTTGCGTTTTATAAGTAAACCGCACACAGCTGCGTTTTACTTATAAACCACACCTTAGGGGTGCGTTCCATGCCACGTCAGCACGCAAACCGCACTAGGAAGGTGCGGTGTGCTTTTCCTGCGGAACGGTCTTCAAGACCGTTGGATGAAGGCGCGATCGGACAGCGGACCGCACGCCAGGTCAGCGATCCGCGCCATGGATCGGGGACCGCACCTGCAAGGAGCGGTCAGCGCCTCGTGAATCGCAAACCGCATCGAAAGGGAGCGATTTCTGGGAAGGGAAATTTACCAGACCGCCCTTGAAGGGTGCGGTCTTATAAGTATAAATACCCCCCCCCCCCCCTTCCCTTCTCATTTCTTCACACCACAACCCATTCTTCCTTCTCTCTCTAGAATTTAGATCTCTAAACCCTCCCCTCCCAAAAGTCTAGGAAATAGTGGTCTGTTGGTTGCGGCTAAGTCCAATCTGCCACCAGAAAACATTTCTTTGGTTTTTTACTCAAAACCCGCCGAGCTGAGCCGAATCTCTGTCCGAATTTTGGTTTTTTCCTCAAAACCCGCAGAGCGGAGCCGAATCTCTGTCCAAATTTTCCGAAAAAATGAGCGAGTGGTGGCAAGGAGAGGGAGTTTATATTGATGAATTTCTAGCGGTACGTACTCATTATTTTGGTTTAATTTTTGTTGTTGTTATTAGCTTTTTAATTAATCTATGTACTAACCTCGTTGTTATTTTCTCGTAGGTTGGGGACAACGTGGATATATACAACCAACAGTATTATCTTGAGCAAGGACCGTTGGATCCAACCGACTTGTACGACCAACCCAACCATCGGTCAATGGATGTTTGGAACGATCACCCGGTACATACAATTCTTCATCATTTGTCTTTCTTTTATTTTGCTAATGTATTTAGTGGAATATAAAATAAATTTATGTTAAATTTTTAATCGTGTTCGTTGTTTTCAATAATTTAGTCGAATACATAGTGCCACTTACTTCGACTCTTTATAAAGATATGCACGTCTAAGGAAATGGAGTTTTAAGCGATTATCATATCCTCCCATTCCCTGGGAAAATCGGGTATTAAGAGATCCTCGGATCCCCTCTTTTTCTGTCAAAAAGACTGCGTTTCTAAGAAGATGTATACCTCTTCTAAGAGTCTAACCAGTGTTGCTCTGAATTCGATTAAATGATTTAAAAAAACCAATACGATTAAATTATTTACCAAACAACCAATACGATTTATTTTTATGTGTACAAAATGAATTTTATTAATTTCAAATATTTGAATATGTATGTTTCTCTTTAAATTATTATTCATTTAGAATGTTATTTATGTTAATTAATTTAGTATGTTTGTTTTACGATAATATGTATGTATCACTTTAAATTATTATTCATTTAGAATGTTATTATGTTAATTATTTTAGGATGTTTTTTTAATGATAATATGTATGTATATCTTTAAATTATTATTGATTTAGAATGTTATTATGTTAATTATATGAAATGTATTTTTATGATAATAAAATTCTGTACGAAGTTAAATAATTTAATTTAATTGATTTAGCCATAAGAAAAAACCCTTACTAATATATAATAATTAATGTGTAAATTTTCGCTAGGAGGCACAAACAATACTCCGCTACAGGGGTACGACCAATGTGCTCTCATTCCACCCAGCTATCTTGCCCTTTCTCAAAAGGGCACGGTTGGACCCGATTAGGCATTTTAACGGCATCAAAGTCGATCGCCAACTCATCACCGCATTAGCTGAGAGATGGAGGAAGGAGACCCATTGTTTCAACTTTAGAGAAGGGAGGCCACCATCACGCTAAAGGATGTCGCCATCCTAACCCATCTGCCCATCGACGGCAAACCGGTGTGCGCGAGTGATCATCCCCCCGAGGATAGTGATGGTATGCCCGGTTGGTTTCATTTCATCCACAGTGTTTTGGGGGTGAAGTACAAGTCAAGGGGTGCGTTGATGCGACCGGTCGCTTGCCACCAATGAGGAAACACCAAGCTCAATTACTTGGTTGACGAAGTATTTTAGAGACCATTACGAGACTCATCCCCTAACCGAGGAAAGTCCGGAGGATGAGAAGGAAAGATATGCTCGTGTCTATCTCATAGGAATGATCGGAGGAGTGTTCTTCCCCAAAAAATCAAGCAATCTCCTTAGTTGTGGATGGCTTAGGATCATCCTCGGTAGTTGGAAGGAGATGGGGGAGTTTAGCTGGGCATCCACTTGCCTAGCTAATATATCTATCACAATTTGTGCAATGTGTCTCTAAAATCTGTGAGGGAGGTCGGCGGCACAATGTTCATCGTCCAATTTTGGGCTTGGGAGCATATACCATGGATTGCACCGGTCCATTGGCCAATCGATCATCCCCTAAGAGGTGAAGCTTATGGTACAAGGTAAACTTCTCATACCCATCATGTTTTTCATAACACATTTTCCCTTGTGTTTTAGCTTATTGTAGTTTCATTATTGTCTTATTAAAAAGGTGGCTCGGACACACAACATGCGACAACCTTGCCCAACACAAGTTGGTCGAGTATCGGAGGAGGTTTGAGCGACCTTGGGAAGGAGAGGTAACTTTTATACTTCGATCCATTTATATGTTTTTTTCATGGAGTACATGTATTTTTCCAATTCTGATAAACTTAAGTTACTCATTTCTTTCTTGTAGATCGTCTTCAATCCATACCCGGAGAACATCGTTCATTGGCATCTCTAGCAATTCCCCGGTCATATCGGGCAATGGTGCACGAGGGTCCCTCTAATTTGTTTTGGGACCGTGGAGTGGCACTTACTGGATCAATGCCTCCGTCAGTTTGGTCGGGAATCGCGCATTCCGTTGGAGGTCCGCGATAGTCAAAGGGCCTTTCACCACCGAGATGGTCGGCAAGGTACTCACGATTGGCCCAAGAAGTTGGCAAAATTCATCACGATGTGGGAGAACATACTAGGCCAGGATATTGTCACTCCAACTCGAGTGGGTCGAATGGGGTATCATGACCCATACTTGGATCGATATCGGCAAACATCGGTTCGGTACATGACTCCGGAGGGTGTGACCGATGGTGCATTGGTAAGTATATTCCATCTAAACAATTAAATGTATTACTTGGTTCCAAAAAAATTTCTAACTTTTTTTTGTGATTTAGGCTGATGGGATCGAGCGAATCAAAGATATGACCGCCGAGAGAGTTGAGCTGGGCAATGAAGATGTGAGCTTCATCAGGAGGATGCCAAACAGTTTGCTTGGTTGTATCAGAGCTCAGGTTCGGGATCATCGTAGATATCCACCCATGGCCGCACCCCCGCCACCTCCGGTACAAGTTGATGTCCCCGATCCCCCACCACCATAGGAGAGAAAGAAGAGCAAGAGGGTTCGAGAAAGGCCCAACGTGCCCGACGTAACGCTATATCAGGCGTGGAAAGTGCCGGCCCCATTGGTTATGACACATGGTGCCGGCCCGAATTCCTCCCAAGTTCCCCGCCCGAGTTCCGGCCAAGATCCCCGCCCGAGTTCATCCCAAGAGCACCGCCCCTCCTACCATAACGATCCCCACCCAAGCTCATACTACGATCCCCGCTCGACCTACGATCAATCCCCTCCGAGCTACCGTCAATCCCCATATGATCCCAACCAAATCTCATACAACGATCCCCGCCAACCATCATACGATTCCCGACCGGTCTACCCCCCATCTCCCCGCCAACAATACTACGACTCTCGCCCGGTCTCCCTCCAAGATCCCCCTACATCATCAGGTACTTGGCATGATGGTTCCTCCATGATGGCGCCCCCACGAATTCACCCCATGGACTCGCCCTCATCACCCGTGGCCTCCTACTCCTCACCGTATGAGCGCAGATGTCCCCCGCTCGACCCCGGAAGAGCCGCCTCTCCGCCGACACAGCACCGACGAGCGCCACACTACCTCGGCCATTCGAAACTTGCCACCGAAACCACCTATTGTTACTCCCGTCGGCCGTCGTACAAGGAGCAAGAAAAGCGTCAGTTCGATGAAGCTCGTGGACTTCCTTGAGATTTGTATTTTGAGTTGAATTTTAATTATATGTACTTGGAACTATTCCTCTTATCTTAGTTTATTTAATTGAGTGTTGTTTTAATTTTTTTCTTTCTATG